GAATAAGAATAATAACAATAATAATTATAAATATGAGAGGCAGAAAATAAAGCAGGAAACAAAATTAAATGACGGATACCATAACGTAAAAAAATGAAATAACAAAAACAGAACCAACGGATTTTCATTCGTTTCAACTTGCCTGTGGATCAGTTTCGTAATACGACAAGTTTATAAGCAACTGGTGACGACTTATTGTCGTTGTACTCCTCCATTTCGTTATTTCATTTGTACCTCGCGAAAAACTGGCCTTTGGTTCAGTACAGTTGCTACGAGCAGGACACGATAAAGCAGAGAACCAAAATTCTCAGATTACTGATTTAGCAAAAGTGGAAAACCTCCCATATTTGCAAAATTTGTACTATTCACTTCATTCACTGTACTAGATTGATTAAAAGAATTCTAGTCACTTAAAAAATGCAGATTTTTTTCTCTTCCGAGAGACTAACAATCTCTTTTCTAACCAACTCTGCATAATACAATCTAAGATAAAACGATAACCAGATTCTGGATAAAAATAAAAACATCAGAAGTACAGGTGCTTCTGAACCACCCAGCTCTGGCTGGTGTAGCATTTGCAAATAATCTTAAGTACAGATATGCCAAACGACTACCGTCCCACTACTTTTTCAAATGCAGAGGCTATTTGACCACATATTCTAAAAATGATTATTTGTGCCAAGTGCTTGCAACAGAAAAAGGTTGCTTCACATAAATTCCTGCCAAACCTGGATTAAACCAGTATCTAGAGAACTCGTAAAACACTCGGGTGTTGGAGGAGAATGTGGTAAGGTAGCATTTTAAAAGAGGGTCTTTTTTGGTACTCTTCCAGGTTTAAGGACTCGTACGCAACGCTTTTGCTGTAAGGCGGGACTATGGCATTTATAGCCCCTCCCCCCAGCCGAAAGGGACATTTTGGCAGATGACCAACTTCAATGTCCCCCTGTTGTCGTATAACGCAGTAACCGCTGCAACATCCCTAAAGGGGAGAACCCTGATGATGCCATATGGTTGAAAAAAAAAAATGAAATTCAAAGGAAAAGGACTACACAGGTAAAAAATGCAAGGTATAGTGAGACCTCGAGGCGTGTCTGGAACGTGACTGCAACACCTATAAAGTAAAAAAAGAAACACACGCATATAAAATAAGTTTGGAAATCATCGTCCAAATTAATATTGGATATACAGTTTGATGGTTAAAAATAACGGGACTGCTTACATGAACAGAAAAATATTGGTCAAGTAAAACATAAATAGCATAATCCGAAAAAACTTTAAAAAAAACGACAACCAATGACCTGACCGGAAAGCAGCTTTCCTTTCATATAACCTCTCGATTAACTCCTCATTGTGTTGGTCGTGTTGTCAACTGTTTACGGTCTGCAGTTAAACCAATTAACACACCTCTATCATCTTCAATGAACCGCTAGGTAAAAGCATTCTCTGCGCCCGCTTGGAATGATAAAACCAAAGGAAATGGTAAATCACTCTTCCCGCTGCGTATCCTAAGTTATGCCAGAAGCTAAAAATTTTAATCTAAAATCAATTGCCAATAATAGAAAAAAAGAAAACAGTGATGCATAACACCCATTCTACAGTGTTATGCAACTTTATCTGTACCATTAATCACGTAACCCAAACGCAACAACAATATTTTTACCCAATACTTCTACAAGGTACCTTTGATATGTAGAAGCCCAACAGCATCAGCTATAGACTAAAAACACCAGTACCAATGACAACAAGAGCAAAACAAAAACGCTCATATACACATACTCGCGGAAAAAAGGAATTAGCATCAACAAGCAATGCTTGATACACAAAAAAAAAAAAACAGAAAGCAAAAAACAAAATGAAATAAAAAATAAAAATAACAATAACAATAACAATAAAAATTAAAATTAAAATTAAAAATCGGCGAAAAAGAAAAAAAAGACTATTGGATCGGTGCCAACCAATAAGAGTGCGTCTTGAAAAGAAAAAACCTATGGTTAGCACGCAGAACTGTGCAGGTAGATCTGTATTGAGGGTGATAAATTCTCTGAGAAAACACAGAAGAGTGTGAATCTTTCAGAATTCTTTTAAAAATCCTCTTTATCGTCTGAAACAATACAAAAAGACGGAGTTATTTTCCTTACTACAATATGCCGAATAAAGACTGAAAATGAGGAAGACTAATCCATGGGTAAAAAAAAAAAAA